TGTATGTTAATGAATAATCCAGTCTTATTGCAATGATTTGGAGACTCTGCAGCAGAGATGAGTGGCAGCTCTACACACATAATCAAATTACTTCACACCACCTGCAGAGACAAAAATTGAGTTCAAGAGCTAATGAATCAAAACAACTTACATTAGCTCTTTTTAAACTACATTGTTATGTTTCTGAATAATTGGACAAAAGGACAAAAAAGTGTTTTGTTTGACTTTATATCAAGGACATGGGGAGTTTGCTATCACTTTTGCATCTGCCTAATAAATACAAAGTTAGCTTAGCTTAAAATAGAAGAACTGAAATGGCTCTTTCTAAGGGTAAATCCACCTACCAACACCTCTAATTAACATATTATATATTATATTCCCTTCCCACAATCCAAGATTGCTGGTTGGTTATATCCTACAACACTGACCAAACCACACCATACAAGTTAAGCGACTCACAGCCCCTGCATTACTATTCACCCCACATACCAAGTATACTCCCTTGTTCAAAGAATTACACTCCCCACATCAACTTTTTATTTAATATACACAAATCCAACATGGTTTAATAAAGTGGACTACAGTGAATCTGCCTGAAAATGCAGACTGATAAATACTCAATCTATATGTAAATATGAGGTACATTGGAAGAAAAAAAATCAAACCACAGGAAAACTGCATTAGCCACCCTATTTGATCAGAGCCCCAGGAGCAGAAGTTATGATTTTTAATGGAATCTGAGGAGGGGAGTGTGTCAGAGCTGAGGCAGGAGGTGAGAGTATGAAAGCACTAACTGGGAAGCTGGCTATCTGAGAGGACGCAGGATAACAAAATGGACCTGAAAGATTACTCTCGCTGGAATTATTGCATTTAGAGGTCTCAGCAGCTTTTCTGCACTCTCACAATCACTAAAGAGAAGAGAAAGTCATGGTTTACGTCAAAAAAAAAAAAAAATTTCTGGTTTGCCACTTGAACAACGGTTTTCTGTTGTGGCTTACAATGACTGAATCTAAAGCAATGCAAAAGGAAGACCTCAGTGTTCAGAGTATAAAACTGTTACTTTCCTTAGTTGTTCTATGTGATTAATTGATCAAAGAAATTTCACCAAATTCACAATTTCAGTGGAAACAACAAAAAGTGATCAGTGTTATGAAACATTATCTTTGTATTAGCTATCAAAAGCCTCCAGTGCAACCTGCTGAAGAGAAAGCAGTGCTTTGTTAGACAGCTACATGCAAACACGCTGACGTGTATTAAAGTGTGTTAGCACGCTAACATGCTGTACGCTAATGAGCAAACAGGCATTTTATCATAAATAAAGTAATGGACTAATTAAAGTTTGATCTAACAAAGGTGCTCAAGGATAAGAAGGTGCAATTCATCTACAGACCGACATGAGTGTTCATGGAAATCCATTCCATAGTTCAAGATATTAATTCAAACCCTATTACAGGGTGTGTAGGGTGGTCTGTCTTTTACGCGGTGCAGAATAGTAAAGGGTGCATGATATGTGCCATACAGTTTTGTATGAATCATGTGACAATGCACACATAGTGATTTGTGCCAAATTACGGTCCACACGGAGACTTGAATGAAGTGTTTGGAGATGCCTGTTGATGCCAAGGCTGCAAACATTTTGTCCCTAAACTATAGTTTAACGACTCTGGAACAACTTAATTATTTTTCATAAAACAGAGACAGATCATGGGACAAGTCACTCTACATTCAGCCTGACTAAAAGCACTGATGCTCTGACGTCATCTCATGTCTGAACAAAGACAACTTGGTGGCAAACAGCAATTAAAAATAAGTGACTACCTGGGCCAATGTAAACTCACACCTTACATACAAATCATTTTTATGCTGCACAGATTTATTAAAACAGCAGGAAACACACTGTAGAAAGAGTAACTTCTAAAATGCTTCTTTGAGGTTTTACCAAATAAGGTGCATCAGCTTCATAATCTTTTGCTGAATGTATTTATTTAATATCTTGCTGCTTCTAACTATTACCAGCACAAATGCTGTAAATCAAACATGGAATGTCCTTCACCTTTAGAACCACATGTTTGCAACCTGAGGATTTAGTGAGACACTCTGTGGGTGCACAGCAAATGCTGTATATTGTAAACATTACAACCTGAAAGTCTAAATGCTGGAAGTGGACTAAATACTATTACAGGCCTGACAGGAAGATATGAAAATAGTTTATAATGACTCTGGGAATTAAGAGTGAGGAGTAAAAAAATGGGGACGCCTTAGCCTTAACAGGGATAGGACAACAGCTACTAATGCTTCCTATGTGCATGCTGATAAACTCAAATGCACAAACTGATATATACAGTATGCTTGACAGAATACAGTTGAAGTCGTATGTTTACATACACCTTAGCCAAAGAGATTTAAACTCAGTTTTTCACAGCTCCCTACATTTAATCCTATGAACACTCTCTGTCTTAGGTCAGTTAGGATCATTACTTTATTTTAAGAA